TGTCTTTGGGATATGGTCTCCTTCCTGTATAAAAAGAGAAGCCTTGGGAATGGTCTATAGCATATGGCACCTTTGGACCCTGCATGTAGCCGTGTTGTTGCTCAGCAGCTTGCTATGTTTTGCTGACATTGGGACTTACAATGGACTTGTAATGTTACTTGGTAACATCGGGACTATGCCTTTTTACTTTTAAACCTTGGGGCTTCTCAGCCTCAGCAGCCAGCAGCTGTCTGAGTGAAGAAACTTCAAATTCCAGTGGGCCTGGAGCAGGAGGTGGAGCTGGACCCCAAGGTTGAGGGGCTTTCACCCATCCCCTAGAGCCTGGCACTTTGAACTTGGCCTTAAAGTCTCCAAATTGTAAGAATAAACTTCTGGTTGTTAGGGCCATCCCATTTGTGGTTTATTTCTGGTCAGAGAGGCACTAGGTAACCAGAACACAAATCGACAGTAATGTGTGGCTGGTAATAATATTCCCTCATTTTATGGATAAGTGTCTGTGATTTAGGTGCTCTGGTGACACAGTGACTAAGGCATTTGACTGCTAACCAGAAGGTTAGTGCTGCAAACCAATCAGATGCTCCATGGAAGGAAGATCAAGCAATCTGCTTCTGTAAAGATTTAAGACCTTGGAAACTCAGTGGGGAGTCACTAAGAATCAGAATTGATCAATGGCAATGGATGGCCTGTGTTTTGAAATACCAAACAAGTTTGTCAAGAACACTAGGGAAATAGCCCTATCTTGGATTTTAGCCAGTCTATATTGCACCACAAAGGATTTGGAAAATTTCATTAAGTCTAATATCTTTCATATATTAATTACTCCAATGAATCTGGTATGAAGCCCATGTGTGCCAGAAAAAAATTAAAATTATAACCCTCATTTCACTATCTGTTATTTAACATAAATTTTGAAGAAATCAAGAAAGTATAAGTCTCCTTACTTTCGTTGGAGTGACTCTTCTGGTAATAACTTATATTTAGTAAATACAACCAACAACAAAATTTGGAAATAAACATTTTGCTACTGGTGCACACGACTCTGAATTAATTAGTACTACTGAATTGTACATGTAATATGGGTAAAATGGAAAATATATGTATATGACATATATTTTACCTCCATGGAAATTAAAAAAAGAAAAACATGTGTCTGCATTTTTTAAAAAAAAATGGTGGACTTTCCTAAAAATAAATCACTTTTGCTGTGAAATTGATTATGTAAGAAGTCTTAACATATAGAAATGGAGGTTCCAAAAGCAAATGTTCCTCTTAAAATTTTATGTTGCTGCATAACGATAATCTTAAAAATTAGTGGTTTAAAATAATACCATAAATTTATTATCTCTCACATTTTTAATGATTCACAAAATCAAAAAGTGGTCAGCTAAGAGAGTCTAGCTCAGAGTCTCTCATGTTGTCAGCTGTTGAATGCCACAATAAGAACAAGGTTCTGAAACAGTTGGGCACTGCCTGGGAATGTCTTTCTATCTGTACAATTTCTGCAGATGACTAATTTGTGTTTCCTCACAGCATGGGAATTAGGGCAGTAACCACTTACAAAAGCTCACTGCCTCTGAGTCAATTCAAACTCATAGTGTCCCCTACTTGGGTTTTCAAGGCGGCATCTCTATGGAAATAGATTGTCCTGTCTTCCTTCCAAGAAGTAGCTGGAAAATTTGAACCACTAGCCTTCTGGTTAGCAGTCAAATACCTTAGGCACTACACCACCAGAGGTCTTAACCACTTATAAGAGGACTGAAGTATTAAAGAACATATTTTCCCAAAATAATAAAATGGAAATGCACAGTGTTATGGATTGAATTATTCCCCAAAAATACATGTTAGAAATCTAACCCCTATACCTGTGCATGTAAACTCATC